TTCAAGCCAAAAGCGCCCCCCAATTAACCAAAATACAGGCATGCACACGCTTGCCAGCTGGTCTATGAATTTCCGGCACTCCAGCATGCGCCCATTCCAATTTGCCCACTCGGTGCCAAAAAGGTTCACCCTCGCTGCCCTAGGAGCTTTGAGGCAGCAGCCGGATTTTTTTTTAAAAAAATTATTATTATTTATTAAATGTGTTTACCATCCATCTCGTCACAAGGCAACTCTGGGTGATATTTATTTCTGTATTAAAACATTAATTATTTCATTTCGGATTTCCTTGGACGAGAGGAAATGTAATTAAAGCATAAGTAGTCCTCAACTTCTGACAGTCATTGGGATGGGAAGTCATGCTGGTTGTTAAGTGGGTCACTATTGACCGTGCTTGAGTTCTTATGACCTTTGATGTGCCCGTCGTTAAGCAAATGTTGCAGTCAACAAACCAAGGCCAGAGTCCTTAAGTGAATCCGTTATCCACAAAAGGTGTTTTTTTGTTGGGGATTGGAAGTAAACACCAGTTTCTGCCTCCCAAAAAAATATAAATAGTGCCCAACATGCCATCATGTGACCCTGAGAGTGATGTGCTTGACTGTCAGAGGTTGTAAGTAGCCTTGAGATGTGTCGTAACTTCAGAGTCACTAAGTGACAGGTCGTAAGTAGAGGACTATCTGCAATCACTTTCCTTTTGCTTGTTTCTTTCCCGGTTTTGCTCTTCTTGTGTCAGATGACAGATAGTCCTTGACTTAACAATACTTCGTTCAGTGACAATTCAAAATTACAACGGCATTGAAGAAAAGTGACTTCTTTTTTGTCAAAACTTTTTTTATTGGTTTATCAAGAGATAAAATGCAGAAAAGCAACTTATTTTTTATCAAACTTTTTTTATTGGTTTATCAAAAGATAAAACACAGAAAAGCAACTTATTTTTCTATCAAACTTTTTTATTGGTTTATCGAAATACAAAATGCATAGAGAAATTCGAAGAAGTAATAGAAAACTCTAGGAGGAGGGGAGGGAAAAGAGGGAAAAAAGATAAGGTGGAAAGAAGGAAAGGAGGAGAAAAAGGCACCATCTTCCGACGCTCTTTAGCACAGAAGATAACAACATTAATAACAACCACAACTTTTTATTTTTACACAACAGTCATTTCTTATTCAATAAGCCTATACCTATTTAGCAAAAACAAAAATCAAAGTTTCATTTTTTTCCCCCCATCGCAAGCACAAAATCCGGAATCAATTTCAAAATGGAAAAAAAAGGGACTTGTGACCATTTTTCACAGTTGCGACCTTTGCAGCGTCCCCATGATCACCTGATGATCAAAATTCAGGCACTTTGGCAACAGGCATACACAAATCCCTCCTTTGTGTACTAGGGTGAGATCGCCCACAATGTTGCATAGACTGGTGGGCAGTGAGACTTACACACCGGATTGCAATGAATGCAAATTTGAACAGTGCCATTCAGGCAGTCCTCACATACTGACCGTACTTGGGTCTGGGAACTCCCATCAGTAAGGAGCATAATCAAAGGAGCCAGGTGATGTGCCCATGCTGATTTATGACAGCAGTTATGGCTGGCATACAAGCTTAATATATAAATAATTTTAATTATGCATTATTATGTCTTAATTTTATTTAATTATAATTATTAGCATAGTTGTTATTAATAATAAAACATTATTTGAAGATCCCGACGGCCACTATAGAGCTTCCTGAATTTTGTGATTCAAGCTGAGATTTAGCATCATTTGCGACTCCAATCAGGATGTTTTGGGGTGAGGTTTTTGGGTGGGGAGTCAAGACGCCACTTTGTCCAAAGTCTTTTGCGGTTTCCAAATTGCGGGCATTGGCTAATTCTCTCCGACGACCTTTTCCTCTCCGCAGGATGGCTCATGCAATGGGCTTCAGCATTACGCTGCGCTTGGGCGCGACATGCTTGGGGCCTTCTCCGTCAATCTCACCCCATCTGCACTTCCTCAGGACGTCTACACTTCAGTGGCTCAGCAGGTGAGGCTGTGGTTGGGTGGGAAAAGCTGCTGGCATAAGCATCTTTGGCCTTCTTTCATCCTACCCCTTCTTTCATCCTACCCTGTAGCATTTAGGGTCCCGAGGCTGAAGATGAAACAAAGTAATCCACCCACAGATAACTAAACCAACCAAAGTTTATTGAACAAAACATTCCATAGATAGCAGAATCAACAGCATGAAGTAGAATCATGCCATGGATGGCAGAATCAACAGCAGCAGAATCAACAGCAAAATTATTAATCATGAAACATCATTCTTATTATAGTGTTTGCAGCTTCTTTAGCTCTACCTACTTTACGTGTAAATATCATTATTGGCTAACAAGTCTCCAAGGCACAATAATTGGTTAGTCCTTACATCATTGGTGTTCATGAGAATGTGCATGTTGTTGCAGCTGAATGAATCAAGTATTATGAGTGAATAAAATGTTGCAGGTTTACTTTGTTTCATCATCCCGTGTCCTTGATCATGCCTGGGAACACG